CCCGGACATGGGAGAGGGGTCCTCCCACGAGACCTCAGCCCTTTGTGGGAGGCCACCATGAGCAGGGTCCCGCCGTGGCTGCTGGGGGTTCAGCAGTCTCCAGGAGCTCAGATGGTAGAGTAGGAAATGGGAAATACCAGTGAGCAACTAAGCAGATATCTTTGCTATGCAATATGTGTAATATCATAGCACTGTTACCTGCTATGCCTAAAAATAAAGCTGAAGGAGAGGACCAGAGGGCCGGGTGGGGAGCTGCTATCGGTCCGGGGGTCTCCCTCAGGAGAGATTTTGAAGTGGGTCTGGGGCGGGGATGTCAGACAACATTTGCTTGGATAAATCCTTCTGCAGAAGGCTGCCAGGCGCCTGAGGAGGAGCCGCTTAGCTGCCACCGACGGGCAGGAGAGACCCGAGAGAAGCTTATTCCTCAGCCCCGAAGAGAAGAAAGGAACCCAGCACTTCCGATGCGCATGGGCGGCCTGGCAGCCTGGTGGCACCGATCTCTGGGGCGGAAAGCAGCGTCTGCACCTCGGGACTCATGCGGGGGCTCAGAATGACAGGCGGCCGGCCGGCGGTGTCCCCGTTCTTCCTGTCGCTCCCACCTTTCTAAAGGACTTTCACCCCACATGGCTTTCCAACCTGCCCTGGGGAACTGGAGCCAAGACAGAAGGAATTACTGTGACAGGGAAGAGCCCTCACGTGCCCGCAGGCGGCCCCTGTGATCTTGGGGTCCGGGTGGCCCTGCTGTTCACAGCCTCCCACATTTCGCGGAAGGCTGAGCAGTCAAGCTCCCGTGGAGGTGTCCGCAGAGTTCCCGCCTGGCGGTGCCCGGAGGTGCGAGCCCAGGACCTGGCGTCACCTCGGCCCGCCCGCGTCCTGTCTCTGGGGCCGCCCGCCCTCCCAAGGGAGCCACCTTGCTGGGGAAGACAGGGGAGCCCGAAGCCACACACACTTGATCCCCAGCTAAGCTCTGGGATTGCGAAGTAGATTAAAGGCATTCACTCACGAGGACGCCTACTTAACCAGGATCCTCAAAGATCCGGGCAGCTCACCCACAAAGGCGCCGGCTCCAGGCCGGCCAGAGCCGGGCGGAGCCCCTTTCCCGGGCCACTGACTTCCCGCGGTACTATCAGCACCGCCGCCAGGGGGCGCGCCGGGGCCGGGCACGGGAGAGGCGGGCGGCCCGGCTCTGCAGCAGATACCTGCGCCTACGCCTTGCTCCTTCATGCGTTCGATGGGCTTTGGTTGCTCACCCGCTGTGTTCTTACTCGGTGCAGATCAGGGGCTTCCTGCAATTCCAGGAGGCTGCCTCCATGCCAGCGAATGGAGCTGGGCCACTTAAAGAAATCCTGTCCGATTCCCGTGCCCACCACCCACGCTACGGCCTCCTTGCTCCAGGCTGCTCTTAGTTTCCAGCTCTCCAGTGGCCACTAGGGAGCTTGCTTCAACCGTCCTGAGGTTCCTATAGCTCTTAGAGAAAGTTAAAAGCCACCCCCACACCCCGCTCCAGGTCAAAGGCCTTGGAACCCGTACGGTCCCCCTTCGTCCTGTCCCTGCGTGAGTCCCGTGGTTTTAGGCCCCTGGACCTTCGCACTTGCTGCCTCCCCCGCCTGCAGCGGCTTTCCCCTCTCCCTGCATCCTTCCTAGGCTGGTCCGGCTCCAGGCTCCCGGACAGGCAGCCCCTGGGCACGCTTCGGGAAAAAATGAATTGCACGGTGCCTGGATCGGAGATTTCCTCCTCCCTCCCTGCGACAGACGAGTAGCCCCACGAGGACGGGCGGGAGCTTGGCCGCGGTATCCTTTGTGCACTCGGTGCCTCGGCAGGGTGTCCGTGGAGCGGCCGACTGTGTGCTGCAGGGAAGCGCACATCAAAAGGATCTTCAGGGCAGCTAGAGGGGTGGGGCTGGGATGGGGATAGGGTCCCCCTCCCAAGTCTAATGTCCCCGACATTCACACACACAACACAAAGTGCTTCCCACGTGTCACCCCTTTGCCCCCAGGGCCCTGGCCCTTGCTGCTTTCTTTGCCTTGACATTCAAGAGACCACCCTCCCGTTCAGGGTTCAGGGCGGAGGCCCGCAGTCCACCGCACGGTCGCCTCCACCCCGCCCACCCTAGCTGGCCTTGGAGTGAATTTAACGCTTTCCCCACCAAGTAAACCCGTCTTGGGGTTCGGGGTGCCTATGAGAGACAGGATGTTTCTGCTTGTGACACAAGGCATGGGGGAGCCCTCCCTGCCTGGGCAGGGACCGCTGCTCAACCGGGAGCTCAGGGCGGGTAGGAGGAAAGAAATTAAGCCTGTGTTGAAGGAAGGACACCTGGCGTGGGAGGGAAAGAGCTCAGGAATCCCCTCCTCTGGGGAGCTTTCAAGTGGGGGGAAATCCCCACACACGCCTCCATTCTCCAGGGCGCCGTGCAGAGCCCCTGGCAGGTCCCAGTGCTCACCTCTTTTACTTCCTCAGGTGCATGGGGCCAGTAAGCTCCTGGATCCCACCCTCCCACCCGCTTGTTTCTCGGTTCATGCCCACATCCTGGTCTCCTGGTGCTCCAGGCTGCCTGGAGGAGGCATCCACATACACGGGGTCCTTTAGGGAATGATGCTGTCTTGCCTACACCACCCAGGACTACTGGCTGGGCATATCTCAGCACCGCAGCCATGGGGTACTTTGCCCCTGTCTCCTAGGGCTGGCACCTGTGGAAATTTGAGGCCCAGAAATGACCCCAGGAGGCCACTGGATCTGACCCTCGTCTTCCCACCACACTGCATCCACAGTGGTGTCTTGGTGGCCAGGGAGGGTAGCCCTCCCCAGCTCTCAGACAGACAATGACCGGTCTCTGGGACTCCCCACGCTGTTGTACAGGATTTGAGATCCAACAGGCCACTGTGATCAGAAAACTACCTGGGAGGCAGGGTGTGTAAGAGCCGGGAGGCCTCCACCCACGATGTCTGTGTGCGGAGGGCTCTCCACTCCTACAGCCTCGGTTCTGGGGCTCCTTCATTCACAGACAATGGCAAGCCCATTGCAACCTCCTCTCCAGGTGAATCAGAAACAGGGCACCCCAGCATCAGCTGCCCATGGGGGTCATCTCTAGGGATCTCCATCTCTGCAGCCTCTGCGGGGTCCACTGCTCCTCAGCAGGTTCGAGATTTTTCTTTGCCTTGCTGCTCCTTGGCCCTCTCCTCCTCTCCCCTTCCCCCTTCTTCCCCTTCTTGCTCCGTCATCTCCCCTCCCCCTGGTCTCTGTTTCTGTCTCAGTGTCTCTCTTTGTCTCTGAGTCTCTCCTCCACTCTGTCTCTCCCTTTCCTCCCCTTTCCTCTTCTCTTTCATCTCCACCCCCCCACCCCCCTCCAGTCGAGCACCAGGCTAGGAACGCGGCAGAAGCCGTGACAAGCCCAGGCGGCTCTCCGGACCCTTGGTGCCCCGGGGGCCAGTTCCCCGCGCTCCCGGTGCCGGCAGCAGCCGCGTGAGAAGAGGGCTCACCGACCGGCAGGCGCAGCGGCTTCGAGCTGTGGGCACGGGCCGCCCAGATCAAAGGCCAGGAATGTCTGGCCCCCTGACTTGGGACTTCCTCCAGCCACGGCCCCCACCCCGTGGACAGCCTGCCGTTCCAGGCCTGGGCAGAACTCGGGGTCTGCTCATTCTCTGCCCCTTCCTGCCACAGTTCCCTGAATGGTGGTCCTCGCCCCTCTCATCAGCTCTGCTTCCTCCACCGCAGGCCAGGGCTGCTCCAGAGCCCCAGGGACCTCGGGTGGCCGGGAGGGGGTTGGGAGAAAGACCAGGTGACGGGGGGTGGGGGGGGGTGGGTTCCCCCAAATCTGGCCACAGTCTCAGCACCACTCAGGGCTGAAACTGAATTCCTCGGCTCTGGAGAGGGAGAGGAGAGAAAAGTCTCGCGGGGGGCTTGGAAGGACTTTCTTCCTGTGGGGAGGGGTGGGGTATTTGGATGGATTTGGTGACCCCATCGGGCAAGGGGCTTTATCACCAAACCCCAGTTTGGAGCTCCCTGATAGCAGGAGGCTGCAGGGCCTCAGGCAGGAGAACTGGGAGGTGAGGGGGGTCCTGGAGGGCAGCGAGGTCCTCCGAGGACCCCAGCTGCTCCCGGGCAGGGCTACTATGTGTCACCGGCCCCAAATGGTTTAACCCCAAGATCCAAACGGGGCTGCAGATCTTGCTTCTGATCCGGGCCCGGGCCCGAGGTCAGGCCTGAACCAAGCCCTGGAGGAGGAGAAAGTGACCCGACTCCGTGAGCAGGAAATGCAACTGGCCGCTGGTGTCAGTTGCAGGAAATGCAAAGGCAGCAGGAGGTCCCGATACCGATCTGATCCCTGACAAAGACTCAAATGACACTCGGCTCTGTCCCCCGGCGCCGCCGGCAGCCGGACCTTCGAGCCTCCGAGGACTCTTCCGTGCGCCTCTCGGACACCCGGGAAGCGACCTCCTGCGGCTGGGTCGGGGGGGTGGGGGGTGCCCGGCCGAGCCACACACTCGGGAGGCTGCAGGATGGGGAGCAGTCGCATTCCCCAACCCCCTGATCTTGACCTGCCTGAGCGTGGTTTCTGGAAACCTCCCTATACTTTCTACTCCCGATTCCTCATGGGCCCAAGTCCCAAGGGGTCACTGTTCCCCGACAGAAAAGGAGCCACCCATGAATGCCCAAGCCACCCGGTCACCACGTGAACGCCCAGGCCAAAGCCCCAGCTCCCTCCACCTGGCTGGCAGGGGGTCTCGGCGATCCGGGACCAGCCGAGGGTCCAGCGTGCCGTGTCCCCCACCCCCAGTCCCCTCTGTGTCCGGGGCGCGGGCTTTGCCCAAGTTGGCTGGGCGATGCCCTTGCAGGAGCCCGAGTCGGGGGCCGGGCGGGAGGGGCGCGTGATTGACAGGCCGAACTACAGACTCCTGTCTTACCTTAGGCCGCGGCGCTGATTGGCTGCTCGCTGACATCCTCAGCCCGGCTGCTCCGCGCTGCGCTCGGGAGGGGGGTGGCCGCGGGTGGAGGTGCGCCTCGGACCAGCCCGAAAGTCATTTCCAACCTCAAGTGGACTTGGTTCCAACTATTGGGGGCGTCGCTCCCCCTCTTCATGGTCGCGGGCAAACTTCGTCCTCGGCGCCGCTTCTAATGGAGACCCACCTGCTCGGGCTGCTCTTCGGCCTCCTGCTCGGTGGCACCAGGGTCCTCGCCGGCTACCCAATTTGGTGGTAAGACTCGCCTCTTGTCTGTCCGCGGCCCGATTTCTCTGCCGCGTCCGGGGAGGTGGGGGGGGGAGGGGGG